TCTCTGGCTCTGCTCCCAAGGAAACAATGGCTGGAAGCTCCTTCCAAACCAAAGAGGCCATGGCTGAAAAAGCCCAGGGTGGTGTCCTTAATCGCTGTGTAAACAAACCCTCGGCCTGGCATGAGGCAGGAAAAGGCCATGACTTCCTCTGACCTCACCACTCCAGAGGCTGTTGGAGAAGATACAGGGAGTTTTTTGAGGAACTGAGAGAAGCTGAGGAGAAGGCAGTTTTAGGAGCTCAGGGCTTTGGAAGGGCCAGCGCCTCTGGTTCTCAAGGATAAGCCAAATCAAGACTTAGTGTGGATATGCAAACAGGTGGGGTCTCCTAAAGAGGAAAAGGTGCCTGCTCTGTACCTTCCCTGGTCCTCCTGCTACTGCACTCAGCCATGGTTTGATGTGTTATCCAGAACCAGACTTGGGCCCCATCTGCCCTATCTGTTTAAAGCAGTACCATGCCACTGCTTCCTTCATAGCATCCCCCAAAGAATCCTGGGAAGTGCAGTTTGTTAAGTGTGCTGAGAGTGACTAGGAGACACCCATCCACTGCTCCAAATTCCCCTCACAAAACTCCATTTCCCAGAGTTCCCTGGGAAGAGGGACTGACTGTTTAACACCTCTGGAAATTGTAGTTCTGTGGCAGGGGGGAGTAGAGGTCTCCTAACAACCCTCAGCATCCTTAACAAACCACACTTCCCATAATTCTTTGGGGTGAACCTGTGACTGTTTAAAGTGGCATGGCCCTGCTTTAAATGGATAGTGCAGCTGGGGCCTCACACATGTGTCGAAAGCCATAGATAGCACATGACATTTTGCTGCCTGAGGCAAAAGCAAGACGGCACCTTCCCCTGTTCCACCTGCTTAAACCATTCATGAATGAGACACTGATAGCGGGTGGTCTGACAGAGGTACCCTGCTCTTGATGGGGTTACAATCCCTCTGAAGGAGCAGGCACATAGCTCAGGAGGACTTCTGAATCCTTTGCTGTCACTTGAAACTCTAGTAGCCTCAGTTGATGAAGTACCTTCCACCAGCTTTGACTGCTGGCCCAGCTGTGCTCCTATCTGGAAAGGGATAGCCTAATGTCTGGTACCTATGCTCTGGTAATGCCTAGATTGGACTGCTGCAATGTGCTATATGTGGGGCTGCCTTTAGATTCGGAAACGGCAGCTGGAACAAAATTTTGATGGCAAAAACAGCCAGAAGCATGGGCCTAGATCAAGTAAAACAATAGAAATATTTAACTGACCAATCACGTCGGTTCTGCCCCCCACAAAAGCCTTGCCCCCCCAAAAAAACCTTGGCTACACTCATGGAAGGAAAAAGGTTAAGCAGCCTTCTCCATTCACCTCCCCATCCCTCCAACTAGCACAAGGTGAGGGGTAGGGGTCATACCTCAGTGGCACAACCTTGGCATTGCATGCAAAAATGTCCTGGGTTCAACCCCTAGTGCTTCAAGGGAGCAGGTGCTGGAAAAGACTATTTTTCTGCCCAAGGCCCCCTCTGGAGAGGCCCTGCAGGTCTGAGTAAACAACACCAGGCTGAGTGGGTGAATGGTCAGACGTGGTGCAAGGCAGCTTCCCTAAAACATGAAGTCACAAGTGCTGCTTCCAGTTTAGTTTTAAAAGCGGGGAGTAGGAGAGAAGTTATTATGTACTGCTGAGCATACAAGGTGCCTTTTGGCCCTCGGTGATGTAGACTTAGAAGATAGTTGTGGTGGATGAGTAGGGAACCAAATAAAAACTGCAAAACACTTTGCACATTTTCTTTTTTTTTTAATCACTTTAGAACTGGCCAAAATGGTAGACTTTGCTCATTTTCAAAGTGGGGAAACAGCACCACCTCTTGAACAGTTTTGCCACTCTCTCACCCGCCCTGAGTCTGGTTAAGTATAAATGCTCAGATCTTAGTTTGGAGTCACAATGAGAAAGACTCATTCCTGCTTGTGTAGCCTGTGCCTCTGGAGAGTAGCAAAATAGTTGGAACAGGAGGGTTCTCCCCGCCTTTTTACGAGGAGCCCTCAAGCTGCATCAAATGCTATAGCTTTAGCAGCTGTGCTCCTGCAATGCTTTTTATTGCAATTATAAAATGAGGAAAAAAGGCTCTCCCAAATATAATCAAATTGACAAAGTGTTAATTGAGATTGTCCTTACAGAGATAGGTGACGTAATTAGGCTGATCTATACACACACCAAATCACTCAGGGGCCCCAGCAGTGGGGAGAAAAGGAAACATCAGAGAACAGCATGGTTTGCAGAATGGTTTGCAGAATGGTACAGGCTGCAGCAGTGTACAGTACACAATTAATTCCTGTCAAAGCAAACCCAAATACAACTAATTTTTAAAGGCCACATACAATTTTTAAATAAAATAGGACAGGCCCCCATCAGTGTTGGCAACCCGCTGATTGATGAAGGCACACCTGTTTAGGAAAGCAATACCCCAGACATGAACTTCTGGTTTTATTATTCTAACTATTTTAATTGCGATGCTTTATAATTTTTTGTTTTATTGTGCATTGTAATTAAGGATTTTACTGTGCATTTTAATTAAAGATTGATTCTATAGTTGTAAACTGCTTAGAAGCCTTTTTTATTATTATTGCATTTATATTCCACCTTTATCTCCAAGGAGCTCAAGGAGGCATGTCCATAGTTCTCCATCTCCCCATTTTATCCTTGCAGCAACCCTGTGAGGTAGGTTAGGTGAGTGACCGGCCTGGAGTCACCTGTTGAGCTTCCTGGTTCAGTAGGGACTTAAATCTTCGTCTTGCCCAGGTCCTACTCCAACACTCTAAACACTACACCACACTGACTCTCAAATTTTGACATACAAGTGGAATATAAATTTATTATTATTAACTATACTAATTAATTAATGGTTATAAATGTACTTACAGTGGTGCCTCGCAAGACGAAATTAATCCGTTCCGCGAGTCTCTTCGTCTTGCGGTTTTTTCGTCTTGCGAAGCACGGCTATTAGCAGCTTAGCGGCTATTAACGGCTTAGCGGCTTTAAGAAAAAGGAAACAAACTCGCAAGAACTCGCAAGACATTTCGTCTTGCGAAGCAAGCCCATAGGGAAATTCGTCTTGCGGAACGACTCAGATAACGGAAAACCCTTTCGTCTAGCGAGTTTTTCGTCTTGCAAGGCATTCGTCTTGCGGGGCACCACTGTATTATGATTAATAATAACAACAATCACTGCAAACAAGGGTTCACATTGTGCCAGAGCCTAAACTTTGGGAGCGTGAGACAGCAGGTACAGAGTGCTGCTCTCCCAGTTCAAAGGTAATCAAAGCCCAACACACAGACTACTGGGGACTGTGGCCTGCTTAAGGGTGGTGCTTTCCATGAAGTCTCTACGTACCTAACAACAGGCAGAACAATCCTCAGCCCTGCTGCTGGCCAAGGAGGAAGGGGTCTGCAGGTTTTCCCACCCATTTGTTTCTGCTGCACCAGCTCCAAGATCAGGCCCCTCAAGGAACCTGAAGCCTGCAGCAGTAGTTTCTGCATTTTTACACTAGTGAGTGGCCTGCCAGTGCTAAGCCCCCAGCAGGGGCCCTGCCATATCCTAATTTCCTCCAAAGGCAGGGACCAAGGGTTAGGATTGCACTGGTAATCCCAAATATGAGGCGGGGGTGGGGATTAGTAGGACCTGCTTTAAGTGCTAGCACGGAAACAAAGTTGAAAAGTCCAACATAAAAATACCCAGAATAAAGGAGAAAGACACTAGCACTTCCCCCCGCCCCCAGTAAGAATCTATAAGCATCAACACATTTAAATTAATACATGAAAGCAAATTGAGAGGCCACCTTGGAAGTTTAGTAGACCCAAAGTGAGATGAAAATTTTTGGGGGGGGGAATTGGACGTGCGCGCGCGCGCGCACACACACACACACACACACACACTACTGGGCAAGTAATGCACGATTTCACCGGGATGTTCAAATACGTGTTATCCAATTGTTATGGAGTATCAAAAGCACACTTTCAGAGCCCACATAGCTTTCTTTTTTAAAGAGCTAAGCAATATAAAAAGCAGCCAACATGTGATGGGGAGACTTGTAGGGCATGTATCAGCTTGGGGAGGAGTGGGGACTTTTCCATTCTGAAAACAATGCTGGAGAGTGAAAGCCACCACCCCTCAACACTGTGGCTCTCACACACATCCCAGGCTACTATTGCTTGAAAAAAACACAAAGTAGGGGTTTTTTTTGGGGGGGGGGAGGCACATCTAGTTTGGCCCTAAGGCATAGTGTTTTAAGAAGCAAATTACCAATGCCTGAAGTTAACAGAAGGGTTTAAGGAACTGCAAAGATGAAGAAGTTAACAAGACAAAGAGAAAATGAGATCTCAATGTAAAACAACCTAAAATCTTACATTGGACAGCTGGTCCCATTAACTCTGGAATATAGCTAAAATGGAGAAAACTACACATAATATGAGATTTCGACAAGGACTAGAAGCTCCAGACACTTTTTATATGGTTTGACATTCTGGTGTTATGCATACAATGGAACCATCATTTTCAAGGCAACCCTTCCGCAAGCCTGGCACATCTGGAACTATACTTGATAATTAGATAATGCTGATATTGTTTACTTGGATTTTGTTATTTTAACTCACGTGCAACTGTACTCATTTTACATGCTTATTTTATAGTTAGCTTTTCCTCTTTTGATTTTCATCTGTTATAACAGTTTTCTTTGTTTTATATACACTATAAAATGAAATAAGAAATATTCACCAAAAGAAAGAAAGAAAATGAGATGATGAGAAAACTGTGAGCACTTTGTTCAGGGGTGTTTTTTTTGGGGGGGGGGGACAGGGAAACCTGCATTGAGAAACTGATGAAAACAATTAATTTTCATTACTGTAGGCATTAAGCTGTTAAACCGGAGAGATTTGGAAGCCGTGTACAAATCGATGCATATAAAGGATCAGTTTCGCATGGATGAAAGACACAGCAATGAAATCAAACTGTAAACTTCCAAGCCCCTACCTTTGACTTCCCAGTCATCTTCTTTAAGAAGCTGAGGGTCCGCCCCAGGGTGGTCCCCTCCCTCTGCGGGTGCACCTGGTCTTCGGCCTCCACCGTGGTGGCGTCCAGCCGCCCGCAGCTCCCAGCGCCGAAGCTGAAAGCATGGAAAAAGTGAGAAAGGAGGAAGGTAGCAAAACAAGCACACACTCACTCACTCACTGGTACCCAAGCCAAACAATCCCCCTTTTTGTTGTTATTGTTTCTAGGCCAGGAAGTAGGGAGGGGCCGGCTCCCTTGGCGGCCCCCAGTGACCTCAGAGGGTGGCTGCTCCTATTCCCGGCTGGGGAGAGGCAGCACAGAAGCATCACTGTTTGCTGAAGCTCCACTAGCAGCGAGGAGAAAAGAGGCAGGCTGCACATCATCACCTGGGCCATGAGCAGAGATTTCAGTGCCCCAGAACCTCTCACAGGCAGAGAGGCTCCCCCTCTGTTCCCATCTTGGAGTCTCTCCTGAAAAAGACTTCCATTAGTGCGAGAATCAACTGCCACAGATCTTTCACTGCTACCCTCATATTTGAGCTCATCAAATATGATGAGCCTTGGTGATTCCCTTTAAAGCCCTAAGCGGCTTGGAATCCAAATTCCTGAAAGCACACCCTTCTGCCCATTCCAGCTTGCTGGCACCCACAGATCTTCTGCTGAGACCCTGATCCAAGTGCCTTCCTTACTGGAAGTGCAGAATGCAAATCCCAAAGAGGAGGTCTGGAATAGCATCCCTCAAGAGGCAATCCTGGTGCCGACTTAATGATGTTTTCACCACTGGGTTAATACATTTTTATTTACATCTTAATTCCCATAATCCCTCACTCTGCTGTCTTTTATTGCAGATGCTCAGGTGAGTTTCTTATTGTATTGTATTAAGTTAGTTATCTATATCTGTTTTGATTAAACTGATTAAAGAGCCAGAATGGTTTTGCGGTTAGAGTGTTGAACTACTAGGACCTGGGAGAGATCAGGGTTCAAATCCCTGCTCAGCTGTGAAGTTCACTAGATGTGACTTTGAGGCTCAGTCACTGCCTCTCAGCCTAACCTACCTCACAGGATTGTTATTGGGATTATATGAGGAGGGGGAGAACAATGTACATCCCCATGAACTCCTTGGAAAAAAGATGCAATATAAATGCACTACCAAAACAACAACAACAGCCTGTCTCAAAAGTCAAAGCGGGGGTAACATATACAGTAATAATCTTATTATTATTTGTCTATTATGAAGAGAACAATGTCTCCACCCCCTTTATATATTCTGGGGGAAAGTATTACTGAACTTTATTTATTTAGCACATTTGCACCCCACCCTTCAGCCAAAAGGGCTCCGACAGCAGCTCACATGCAATCCCTACCCGCAGGCTTACAATCTAAAAAATGTGGCATGTAAGGAAAAGGGACGGGGAGGGAAGAGGAAAACCAAAACCAAAACTCAGGCACCAGTTTCTGAACAGCTGTTCCTGTAGTGCCCAGCTGGCACAGTTCAGGGGCAGGAGGTGCCTGGTGGAGCTGCCACAGCAGTGCTGATAGAGCAAACTCTGCTTCCCAGCTCTCCCACTGCTGGAAAGGCAAGGCACAGCTCCTAAAGAAGCCAGCCCATGGAATAGCAGAAGGCCTACCAGATGAGTCCTGGTAATGAAGATGGGAATACGAATTGGCAGGGGAAGTGATGGGGAAGAACAGACACATTCTCAAATACTGGGGTGGGGGGGGGAGACTGTACTCTGAATTTATAGAAAGGATGGTGATGATAATGTGTAACTGAGAATGCTGGGATTTTTATGGGACAGCCCCCTGACCTCTCCTCCATCTCTTGTCTTTGCCTTCCTCAGCATAAGTTAAGCCCTCTGTGCCAGAAGGTATTTTCAATGTGTTTTGTTTGATTTAAAAATTTATAAACTGCTTTATATAGACTAAGCAGTCGACAAGAATATATAAAACCAACCAACCAACCAAATAATAAAACAAAATCACAAAGCTTTAATAAAAACTCTTCCTGTGAATTGGCTGCAAACTAAGAACAGCAATTCAGCCGGGGGCAGGCCTGAGTTAGGTGCTGCTTCTTTTTAAATTGTTTTATTTAACCCAATGTTGACATGTTCCATATCCAAATGTTAAAATTTATGGGGCAAGCAAGTTTGCTTATTGGGGTGGTATTTGGTGAAAACTCCACTTTGGATCTTGTCATTCTCTAAGCAGCATAATAAACAACACATGGTCAAGAGTTGTCTGGGGTACAATTTTGTCATGTTCAGTGCCTGTCTCTTCTTTAAGTTGTCCCCCTTTTACAATTCTGCCTATGCCTCAGGAGGTGTGTCAGAAAGCTGTCTCCCCTCGGGAGGGGCAGATTAGTCAATTTCAATTACTTTCTGCTTCTCATTTTCCCAATCTTAAATGCAGTTCTCCACATTTCCAGTTTGTATTAAAAAGTCCTCAGGAAAACCTATCATAATTTTACTATGGTTTCTCCTAATATACACATTTTTGTATGCAACTTTGCCAAATAGACGCATTTTAGCAAAGGAATTTTCCTAATGCATTGAAAACAGGGGTGGGGAAGTTATTTTTGCTCTCAAGGCCATATCCTTATCAGGATTGGCTTTGCAGGCCAAATTTGACAGGCTACTGACCTGTCAATCATGTGATACTGTTATGATGTCACACAATTGCCTGGCAGGTGAAGCTGCCAGCACCCTCCTGTCAAAATTCTTCATGCAGCTTTGCAGGTCTTCCCACACTTCCCCCTTAAACCCAGTACTGGGGGTTTAAAAGAAGAACACAGGGAGACTTGCAAAGGCAACCACTATAGAGCAGTCTGTCTTAAAGCTGTAACAGGTCTTTTGAAGTAGCCTCCATCCTGTTCTTCTAAGGGGGAGGTTGCTTCAAAGTGTGTACAGTATTTGCCAAGCACTTTAAGATAGGATCGACTGCTTGTGCTCCTTTCTCTCTCTCTTCCTCTTAACTCTAGGGAGAAAGGTGTTTTTGCAAGCAAAGGCAAGGATGGGTGGGTGTGTCTCCCATGCTCTGGTTTGCTTTCAAAATGCTCCCTTTAAGATCAGAGCAAGATGTGGACTTAGAAGGGAAGAGGGAGGAGACTGGCAGTGACTTCTGTGAGTCTCCTGTCCTTTTAAATCCCTAATCTTACAGTGTCTAATCTCTATTCACCAGCAGATGAGCGGAGATTAAATCCTACTGCAAGGCCTTGGGATCCAATGCAAGGTTAAATCCTGCCCTCCTGCCCATCAGCTGATGTCACCAGTGATGTCAGCTGATGGGAGTGGTTTGGGAAAAACAGCCTGATGGGCCAAAATGGACCCTCTGGAGGTCCAAGATAGGTCCATTTGCCATAAATTCTCCACCACCGATTTAAAAAGTTTTAAAAAAACATTTAATACAGTATCTTTAAAAACTCAGTGTGGTATACACTGTGTACAATGGAAAAACAATTTGCATTAAGACAAAAATATACCCTAAGAGCAATAAAACAGTGTTATTTATCTATTTAATGCCCTTCTATCCCATATTTTTATTTTATTTATTTATTGAATTTATATATCGCCCTATACCCAGAGGTCTCAGGGCAGCTCACAGAACATATTTTTCTCCAAGGAGCTCAAGATGGCATATATGGTTCTCCCCATCATTTAATCTTCACAGCAACCCTGCAAGGTAGGTAAGGCTGAGAGAAGTCACAGTCCCATGGCTACATAGTGAGCTTCATAGCCATGTGGGGATTTGAACCCTCATCTCTCAGGTCCTAGTCCAACACTCCAACCACTATGCCATACTGGTTCTTAACTGGTTCAGCAACTAGATTTTGTAGTGGGGGTGGCATTTTTTTCCCTCTTCACCCAAGGTCATGCCCAGTGAGTTTCATGGCTAAGGGGATTTGAACCCTGGTTTCTTCCAGGTCCTAGCCCAGCACTCTAACCACTGCACCACACTTTTTATTTTATAAAACAGATTGGGGGGGGGATTCTTACAAATAGATCAGGGTCCAAGTATGCATTTTTGTACATGATTTTCACTAACATGCACGTTTATATGCAGGCTTTACCCCAGTATATGCATTTTTGTAATGACTTGGTTGGAGAACTACACTGCAAAATTCAGAGAAGTGTAGGTTTCAAAGAAGGGCTGCATCACTAGGTCTCCAGGTCTACACTAAAGTACTTGGCCTACACATATGCCTGGTTGCTTTCTTTTTTGTATCCTCCCCACCCCAACACCACTGCCTGCAGACCTCTGAAAATAAAACTGGTGCCAGTGATCCCTAGAGGGTAGGGGAGAAGGAGGTTTTCCTGGAGCATCAAGGGACTGTCAGTGGGGAAGATTTAGCATTAGTGATAATCAAACAGCTACGATTCTCCCCTTCAAAGTTAGACCTGTTATGGAAAAGCTGAATTACACATCTGAGCAGTGCAAAGAGAATCGTGCAAGTGTGGCCATATCAGCCAAACAATGCTGCCATTCCCCTTGAGACCAAGGACTCCCAAGTCAGGAGCTGAGCTACAAGCTCAAATCCCACCACCCTCAGTCATATCTGAAGGGCAAGAAGTGCGACTCACCCATTGGACAGGCTCACAGTGTCACCATAAAGGGAGATCCCTGGCAAGGGAAGGGAGAAGAGACATATTTTATCTACTTGAATGACAAGGTATATATCCCACCTTTCTACTTCAGAAAGTCCTCATGTGTTACCCGCTTTAAAATCACAACAGTGAAATATCAACAATGAAAACCATGAAAACAAAACTGACAGCGACAAGGAGGGTGATTCCAGATGGGGGGGCAGATCTTAATGCTGGAAATGGGTTGTTGAGATATCATAGAATCAGAATTGTAAATGTCAAGCCCCTGAAACGCAAGAATATGCAATTGTCCCTTATGGGGATCAAACCTGCAACCTTGGCATAATCATTGCACAGGGCTTGTTTGCAACAAGTCCCCCCCCCTTCTTATACAAATATTGAGGCACATGGTCACCCAGAGCTACCAGTATATGCAAATGTCTGCCCCATTTAAGAGTATAGAACCTTTATTCTTAATAATAATGGAACTCACAGGTGGATAATACTTTTATTTTTACATGTCTTTATTATTTTGTATTATTATTTATTATTTGTAAAAGCAATCTTTGCATGAGTTAATATTTTATTACCCATTTGGAGCTGTGTTGTATTTTTATACTTTTGACCTTCTGGTCAGTCATACTTTACAGTTTATATTTTTGATTCTTTGTTTCTTCTCTTTTGTTAAGTTTGCACATTTTGTTGCTGTTAATAATAAATTAATACTTTAAAAACAAGTTTTTTTGAACATTGGATTTTCATACAAAAGATAAATCCAGATTTTTAGGGAGGGGGGATATGGACTAGCATTTTGATGCCAATAATGGTGCCTGGGGGCTGCAAAAAACACACACAAAAAAAAACTTGCAAGCATGAGCGGCCCCCATCACACAATAAACCTCCGTCTAGAAGCCCCACAACTAAAGCAGCAGCATAAGCAGAGCGAAACTGCAGAAGTTAATTACTGGTTAAAACCCCAGCAGTACAGAACAGGGAACAACAACAAGGACATCTCCCTGGAGAGGGAATTTCAGAGATGGAGTGGAATTGCAGAGACCACCCCCTTTCCAGCCACAACAACGCCTGACTTTCAAAGGCAGCTGGATGAAGACCTCATCTCAGAAGAGAGTCTTAACTGGAGGGAAGGCTTCACCTGAGAGAGCAGGTGGTCCTTCAGACACCACCTGCTCTTGGTCTGTTTTGGTGTTTGAACATGCAAGAACCCCACAGAGGGAGCAATGAGGAGTGGCTAGACGCTAGAGGCTCAGTGGTTGAACATCCACTCTGCATGCCTAGGGCTGAACCCAGGCCCCAGAAAATCCTACTTTTTAAAAACACAGTGGAAACTGTGCAATTTCCCCAGGTGTAATGACCCATTGTGCAGCTATTCAACAGCCTGGCTAGCCAGTTATAGCCTATATAGATTGCTCTAGCCATTTCCCTCTCTCCTCTCTAGGAATCATCACTTAACCCAGTGCTTCCCAAATGTTTTCGGGCCACCACACCCGTGGTTCCATAACCTCACCTCCAGTGCCCCTTGCCCTATAAAAACATTGTTCAGAATAGCAGTTTGCAGAAGCCCACTATGGAAGATAATAACACAAAAGAATTCAAAACACTAACAATTAATTGCACATTCGTTCAAAATCTAGTTAAACTATTCAGTTTAACTATTCAGTTTAATTAATTCAACAAAACTTGATGAATTTGATCCAACGATACCAGCTTTTCAAAATCTGATAGTCATTTACATCACCAGCACCCCACTCAGGAAATTCCACCACCCCCTCAGGTAGCACTACCACCTACATTAAAGGTAAAGGGACCCCTGCCTGTACGGGCCAGTCGTGTCCGACTCTAGGGTTGCGTGCTCATCTCGCTCAAGAGGCCGTGAGCCGGCACCGTCCGAAGACACTTCCGGGTCACGTGGCCAGCGTGACGAAGTTGCAGCTGGCGAGCCAGCACCAGCGCAGCGCACGGAAACGCCGTTTACCTTCCTGCTATAAAGCGATACCTATTTATCTACTTGCACTTTGACGTGCTTTCGAACTGCTAGGTGGGCAGGAGCTGGGACCGAACGACAGGAGCTCACCCTGCCGCGGGGAATTCGAACCGCCGACCATGCGATCGGCAAGTCCTAGGCACTGTGGTTTTACCCACAGCGCCACCCGCGTCCCACCACCTACATTGGGAATCACTAAAAGAGAATCACTTCCCTTTTCATATAGCATAGCCTTTATAATGTTTTCTTCCCTGCAGCCCACCCCCCTTTAAATTGCACTTGGGGTGGCTAATCATGATCAGGAGTTCTGTGAGGGCAAAAGCCAGCATTTAACCCTTCTCACACACACCCCCAAGGCTAGTGAAAATCACCCTCCCTTTCCCCTCACAAACATATGGGGCTGGGGAAAGTAGGCCAGCCCAGCTACAGAATGTTATTTGGATTCCAGAGGTCTGGAATCAGAGTTTCAATTCCACTTCCAGGATAGCAGTGATTGGGTGCTGCTTAATGGTCCATGCCTAGAAATGCCCCACCCCATGAGTCTCCACACTCACCATCTGCTTCTGCCGGGTAGCTGTCGATGCCACTCATGGAAACAGATTTGGACAGAGAGCTGCAATTGGAGTTCTGGGATGCATGATATGCTTGCATCCTCTTGGCATGTTCCTGAAAATGAGAGCGGGCTATTAATGTCACAAACACCACCACCAACCCTGGGCAAAGGATTCCTCACTTCAGCAGCAGGAGGGCATAGAAATCTGGGACACGTACACTCTACCAATTTAAAGCCCAGCTTACTACTTCTCTAGCTTTCAGTAAACTAAAAGCTACCCACTTCTTCATTATTATTTCAGAAGTCACCCATGGCCGGTCCTTAATGAAACTTGGCTGAAACTAAGTTTTGATACAGGCTGAAGTGAGGGGAAGATAAAACCACATTCTTAATATGACGTTCTACCGTTTTTAGCAACCATTATGACAACAACAAAGGAGAATATGCAAGAGCTTATTTTCAGTCACTAAACCTGCTTGAAATGCCATGGGATCCCCTAAAGCATCTGAAACTGGATATTCATTCTTTCATTGACATGGATACCTGTGAGCTAAATGGGTCAGGAGGGCCTCTCTCTCACACACAGGTGTATCAGGACAGGCTCCAACCTCCTCCACCAGCTCCTAGGGCCCCAGCCAACAGCCAGAGCAGTTGGAAATTCTGTTCCAACTGCCAGCTGCCCAGGGACTGCAACAGTCAAAGGGGTGAGTCACTCTGGCCTCTAACCTTGGCTGGAGGAGCAAGGGCCACTGAGCCACTGCAGTGCCTCCCCCCCTGCAAGGGAAAATCAACCTGGCCCTGAAGGGGAGATCCAAATGACTGTCAACATCTTGCTGCCTCATTCTAGCATGATCAAATCAATCCCTCCTGTAACTTCCTTCTGTCTAATGTGACCCTTTTGTTTCTTATCCTTTTTCATCTGTAAGCCAGGCGCCTACATACAATGTCTTCCACCAACATTTTGCATCCTAAATTTTAACAAAATGACCTTTTGGGGGGTCTGGAAAGTGGGAATAAAAAATCTAAACATACATCCGTACCTGAGAGAATTCCTGGTCATCCTCCTCTTCATCCTGAAAGAGCATGGACTCCGTCTCATCGTTGCTACGGATGATAGGAGCTCGGCGGGGATCCCTTTGGCTCTGAGGATGTCCGTCCAGTTGCTCAGTGGAGGAGTCAACTTCCTCGTGGGCTAGTCCTTTCATACTCATGCTGGAAAGGAAGCCAATCAAGAGCTTAAATGTGATCCCATGTTGAGCTACCCACACAGGGACGCGGACTTATAAAAAATATTGGGGGGCCCCGCGAAAGCTCATGAATAATAAATAAGCTCATGAATATGCAAATAAAGTGGCTCCGGCCCTAAATAGGGCAAGCCACGCCCCCCCAGCCAGCCGATTGGCTGGCTGGGAGGTGTGGCCAGTCGGGATTCCCCTGTTCTCGCGGGGGCTGAAACCGCCAGGAGGAAGGAAATTCCCCCCGGCAGTGCCTTGGCAGTGGCGGTGGTGCTGCGAAGCAGCGAGGCAGGAGCCCCCGCCCCCGGCGCCCGAGATTATTGGGGGGGCTGAGCCCCCCCAAAAAATTTTTTGAGGGGGCTCGAGCCCCCTCAAGCCCCATGGAGTCGGCGCCTATGTACCCACACCCAGTTATAAAGGACCTTCCCACTGCAGACTCAAACCTGAGCATTTTTCAAAAGTGCACAGATATAGGAGGGTGCAACTGTTAAAATAGTGGTTGCACCAAGTTCATATTCACAGCCTGATATCAGTTTCCCAACTTGCCATGCACTCATGTGCAGGCCAGCTAGCCAAACCAGTGTGGCATAGAGGATAGTGTGCTAGGCCAAGACCTTGGAGGCCAAACAGCTGCAAGAACCGTGGCCTCCAAGGTCTTAGCCCAGCACACTATCCTCTATGCCACACTGGTTTGGCTAGCTGGCCTGCACATGAGTGCATGGCCATACTCACTATACTCACCAGAGCTTGCTGGACTTGACATCCATCAGAAACCCACCAAACCCCTTCTGTGCGTAATGTGATTTTTGTCTCTCTCCCACCACCACCTTCCCAAAGCTCTTGAGAAGCTGCTTCTGACTTGTAGAGGCACACTTCCTTCTCTAGAGCTCCCCACCGCTGAAAACATTTGCAGAAGTGGGGAGAGTTTCAGTCTTTCCAAGCAACTCTTTTTGCAGAGAAAGGGAAGGCAAGGGGGGTGGCGCTGGAAATCCCAAGTGGGTTTGTCCTCAAGTCAGAGGCAGAGGAGCTATACTTTAATATATGCTATTTAATTATATTATTATTATTATTATTATTATTATTACTATTACAACAAATTATTATATGCCCTTCACCCTAAGGTCCCAGGGTGGGCTACAACAATTAAACCACAATATTAAAAACAGTTTTAAGCAACTTACAAGCACAGAAACAAGGTGGGTCCTAAAACATACATTTCAAGGGTCAAAGGTCAGGGTAAAGATCCGCTAATCTTGGCGCCAAAGATGGTAAGGAAGAAGGTGGTATTTCAAGTTTTGGGGGGATCTGAATTGTTTAGGGTTTTGAACGCTAAGGTGAGCACCTTTGATTGGGCCTGGAACAAGCAGCTGTTTCAAAACACAGGTGTTAAAGGGAACCCCAGCCAGAAATCTGACTGCAGCATTTTGTCAGACGTCAAGGTTGAATAGTTAAAAAGGTATGATAAAGTTAATTTTAAAAATTGCCTTATACAGACAAATTGACCCATCTTCGTACTGCTTACATTGAATGGCAGTGGCTCTCTAGATTTTTCAGGCAGGGGGCATTCCTAGCCCTACTTGGGGAAGCCAGGGATTGAACCAAGGTCTTCAAATCTCCCTGCAAACAAATTAGGATGCTCAATGAACAGGTTGTCTGGAATAGACCGTAGCAAGAAAATGCCTTGCTGCCAGCAGGGGGCAACCCAAGACTGGTTTGGATGGGACCATCCAACCAAGCTGAGTTTGGAAAGATCCCCACTCCACGCCACAGAGTTCAGGTGCTTCCAGGTGCAAGTTTACAGTCAAGTGTTGGAATAGCAGTGAAAATGGTAGCTGGGAAAATGGTACAGGTACCAATTCCAAACACAGAGTGGGGCTGGGGGGAACAGACCTGAGACAGCACCCCTGTGTGGAAGAAGCCAACTCACACAGCACATAAATTTTGGGGGATTTGCTGCCACAAGGTGCAGTGATGGCTGCAAACTTAGACAACTTTAACAGGAGGTCAGACAAATTCCTATAGAATTCAGAAGGGTATCAATGGCTACCAGTCACAATGGCAATGTTTCTTTCACGTATTTATTGCATTTATATCCTACCTTTTCCCTCCAAGGAGGCTCAAAGTGGGCCTCCCCCTCCTCCTTTAATCCCCACAACAATCTTGCAAGGTAGGTTAAGCCAAAAGGCACTGACTGGCTGAAGGCCACCCTGTGAGCTTCATGGCCTGGTGGAAATTTGAATCCTGGTCTCTCCTAGGTCCATGTCCAACACTCTAACCACTGCACCACACTGGCTCAATGTTTTACCTCTTCTATCCGATGTGGCCAGGGTCAGAAGCAAAAGTGGGCAGAGCAATAGATGTGTACAGTAGGGTATATTTTATTCAAAGTTTCTGTACACACACACACACCTCTCTATGCAGGCAAGCAAGAGGCATTAACACAGTTCAAGGACACATTCCAGCCAGGTAAGAGCACTTGAGGTAGGTGAGCAGCAGAGCCAGTGAGTGGCCATGCCCAAAGGCAGGACCCAGAGAGGCCTGGAGGGCTCTATCTGCATACACACCCACACACCCTGAGCCTGAGATCTCACATGCCTGCTTTATGATGCTGGGTCTCAAGAGCTTCCAAATTTTACAGTAGTTTGGACCATTTTCTTCGCATTTCCTAGCTAGCTTAAGAAGTGAACTATTTTGAGCATCTGCACAGAGCTAGGCCGTCATCACTGCAGGCTGTACAATTAAATTGGATTTGGTGTTCTTTTGCAACAAACCCATCCTCCACCCCCGGAAAGCAACCTGGAGGTTTTCATAGTAAGGAAAGTCACAGGAAAATGCACCGGACAGTGTGAAATAACAATTGCTTGATGCAATATCTTATACCCTTCCCCACAAATGAGAATGAATAAGTGGTTCCATGGTTTACAAACTTAATCCGTTCCAGAAGTCTGTTCTTAAACCAAAGGCGTGCTTTCCCATAGCAGCGGGGGACTCAATTTAGAAATGGAACACACTCAACAGGAAGTGAAACATGTTCTGCTTCCAAGGCAAAGTTCAAAAACCAAAACACCTACTTCCGGGTTTGCAGCATTCTTAATCCAAGTTGTTCATAAACTAAGCTGTTCTAAAATCAAGGTACCGCTATACTCAATAAGCAGCCCAATGTTCCGTAACCATCACCCCGCAAACAAATCTGGATGAATGCCAAGAAAGCAGCCTTTCTGTGGTCTGGATGACAGTTTTGTGTGGACACCCCACAACTATTCTATATTAAATGGTTTGTGTAGGAGCAGCCACAGGGTACTCCCAGGTGACCTGTTTATTAAGAATTCAATCCTGATTTTTTTTGCAGGGAGGTTAGATGACAAAGCAAGTGTTATTCCATATTTTTTATTGCATTTGCTCAATACTTATTTTCTCATTGCTCATTACTGCAAAAAGTTTGATCACGGGGGCAGGGGAGCAAATTTGTTTCACAAGACCCCTCAAAAAATATCTGTGCAAGCAAATTTGTTGGAATGTGATTGACTCCCTACCTGAAGTTAATCTGTATTTGTGAGCTTCTACTAAAATACAGGGACGCGGGTGGCGCTGTGGGTAAAACCTCAGTGCCTAGGACTTGCCGATCGCATGGTCGGCGGTTCGAATCCCCGACGCGGGGTGAGCTCCCGTCTTTCAGTCCCAGCTCCTGCCCACCTAGCAGTTCAAAAGCACCCTTAAGTGCAAGTAGACAAATAGGTACCGCTTTATAGCGGGAAGGTAAACGGCGTTTCCGTGTGCTGAGCTGGTGCCGGCTCGCCAGAGCAGCTTCGTCACGCTGGCCACGTGACCCGGAAGTGTCTCCGGACAGCGCTGGCCCCCGGCCTCTTAAGTGAGATGGGCGCACAACCCTAGAGTCGGACACGACTGGCCCATACGGGCAGGGGTACCTTTACCTTTTTACTAAAATACATGAGCACAAAAACTGAGGTGCATCATATTTCCCACTAAGATATTTAACAGAGTGTCTGAAAGCTGAAAAACAACAGTGCTTGTAACAAGACAAAAAGGGAGAGAGGGATTTTCCAGAAACCTGGATCAGAAAATAGGAGCTGTCCTAAATAAAGAGCGGCAGTTGAAGTAACTTTCTCTCTCTCTCTCTCTCTCTCTCTCTCTCTCTCTCTCTGTGTGTGTGTGTGTGTGTGTGTGTGTGTGTGTGTGTGTGAGAGAGAGAGAGAGAGAGAGAGAGAGAGAGAGAGAGAGAGAGACTGACTGAATAGAGCACTTCCAGGTGTGGGTTTATTGTGAGATGGGTGCTCCTCATGCAGGCAATGATTGATTGATTGATTGGCCTCCATATCCCACCTTTTTCTCCTAGGAGCTCAAGGTGGTGTACAGGGTTCTTTCCCTCTTCATTTAATCCCTACAACAACCCTATGAGGTAGGTTAGGTTGAAAGGCAGGGACTGGCCCATGGTCACCCAGGCAGCTTCACGTGGCCGAGTGGGGATTTGAACCCTGGTCTCCCAGCTCCTACACTGATACTCTAACCACCAGCTCTCAGCATCCACAGGACCTCATTAGTATCAAAACGCCATCTTGTATTTCTACCCCACTGCCAATTTATTCCAGATCTACCCTTTCAGTTACAAAAAACCCCACCCTGTGTTGCCCACAATCCATTTGCAATATCTGCTGCCTTCTGGAGCAACCAGTAGAAGCCTGGGATATGCTCAGCCCTGCTTAAAGACCGCCTTTTCCTGAGTGAGGTCAGCTTCTGGCCTGAACAAGCACCTGACATAGTTTTCCACTCAGGGTCAAGCCCTAGCACCACCCTTGCGATAAATTCAGTCTCCCCCACCCTTGCCAGCCTAGCTGTTTTAAGCTCTTAAAAATAGTACAAAGGCTCCCTGAACATGGAACTAGCTAGAACCTCAGAACCTAAACTCTCCTACAGAAACAGTGCGACAGATTTGCAGCCCCAGAAACCAAGGCTTTGTCCAGACACCATAGATCAGGAAGGGCTGTTTTCCAAGACAGGCTGCTGAGAGGGAGAGATAAAAGAGGAACAAAAGCAGCAGAGACTGATGGGAAGACCAAAAAGGGACACATGACTTCAGAAAAAGAAGCTGGGCATCACTTGCAGAATCTGAAAAGACTATTCCCACAAATGAGGTTTTTCAGGGGAGCTCTTCTCTCAGTCCCATCACCCTCAGAGGCATGCTTGGTGGGCTAACAGGAGAGGGCCTTCTCAGCGGCTGCTCCTAAGCTTTCAAACTCCCTTCCTACAGAAGTTAGACTGGCTCCTTCTTTGTTTTTCTTCTGCCAGCAGGTGAAGATTTTCCTGTTCCAACAGGTTCTTGGAAATGAACTGTTTTTAAGCAAAGGGCTGGTGCTGTGATGTTTTTTATTGCAATTATCTGATAGTTCTTATATGTAGTTTTAAGTCTACCCATGATTAATTGTTGTTTAATTATTGTCTGTCCCCCCCCCCGGTCTCTATTTTATCTGAAAGCCACCTTGAGTCCCTGTCAGAGGAAAAGGTGAGATATAAATAAATAAATATCATCATCATCTAGCCTCTTGAAAGGACACTAGGATCGCTTCCACATTACCTGTTTACCCAGCTTTCTTCCTGATCATTTGCAGGGTGGTTATACTCGGATGATTATGTGGGTTGCTCACTGAGCATCCATCCTGATTTGTTTGCAGGGACGTTATATGACTGTCGCATCAAGTAATTGCTAACACACTTTCCTGTGCATCTCCCCATCACATTTCTTACCACAAAAAGTCTTATTCTGTATGGGAGTGGCAGGTTTATGGTCTGCGGGGCCCTATGTGCATTCCTTTCTGGGGTTGCCTTTCCCTGTCAGAGTAAAGTAAGGTAAAGGGACCCCTGACCATTAGGTCCAGTCGTGACCGACTCTGGGGTTGCGGTGCTCATCTCGCTTTATTGGCCGAGCGAGCCAGCGTACAGCTTCCAGGTCATGTGGCCAGCATGACTAAGCCGCTTCTGACGAACCAGAGCAGCACACAGAAACGCCATTTACCTTCCCGCTGGAGCGGTACCTATTTATCTACTTGCACTTTGACGTGCTTTCGAACTGCTAGGTTGGCAGGAGCAGGGACCGAGCAACGGGAGCTCACCCCGTTGCGGGGATTCGAACTGCCGACCTTCTGATCAGCAAGTCCTAGGCTCTGTGGTTTAACCCACAGTGCCACCCACATCAGAGTACCTGGAGGCAAATTCCCCTTCACCACAAACAGACAGATGAATGACCTATTACATTTATAATATTAATATGGTTTACCTTCGCTGATCAAAATCCGGGTCATCCTCAAGCACTTTCCCTGGCTCCCAGCTGTGTCTCCGGAAGGAGTCGTAGGCATGACCAGAACTCCCAAGGATGCCCAACCTGCGCATGTTAACACCCAGGAATCGACCTTCCTCCTCCTCTTCTTCCTCTTCCATCTCCTCCCAGCCTCCTGCGGGAGGCTCCACAGCTGACAAGCAGCGGCGCTTCTGGACCCGTGAAGGGCAAGGGGTGCATTCACAGGGGCTCAGGACCAGTTCGGAGGCAGAACTGCTCATTCCCCAAGGAGCTCGTGGATCCAAAAGGCAGAAAGGCTTTGCGGAATGAAAAGGGGGGCTGGAGAAAGAGGGTGCTGATGTTAAAAAAAGAGCATAGCCCAGCTTGCAAAAACCATCACACATTTTTATTACCCTTGTACATACTCTTGTATGAGTTTACCTGCAAAATCCACTCAACCACTTCTATCTATGGAACTGGCACTGTTACAGGCGCTACATAATACCTGTTCTGCATTGGTGAGAAATTGGGCTTTCTTTTCAGTGTGGCGGCACCCACACTTTGGAACTCCCTGCCAATTGACATCAGGCAGGCGTCTTCAGTGTAATGTCTTGATGCTTTTTTGAGGTTTTAAAGAGTTGTTTTTAGCTGTTTTCAGCACCAATAATGTTATCGTTTTAGTCTTTTGTAAACTGCTTTGAGGGTTGTTGTTGTTTTATTTTTTACCATCAAGCAGTGTGTACGTGTTACTCATTTATTTCACTTGGGTCCTGAAATAAATGGAAAGATCCAACTCTGTAAAGATGCCCTGCCTGATGACTCTCTCACAAGCCCCTTATTCAGGCAGAATCAATACATGGAGGTGGGGGGGTGCCAGGATCATGCCCGCTGACCCTACCCAGATCAACAGGCTCATACCTATGTAGGCAGCAGCACAGTTCAGGAAACACAACCATCGTGGAAAGGCAGGGCTAATGGGCGCAAACCCAATCTCACTCCCTTGTCTGGACAGGGCCGTACACACTTATTTGCAGGCCTACCTGAGTGTTGTCAAAGCGGGAATGCAATTTCTAGAGGAACCCAGAACCCCAACCATCAAATCTACACTAGGTTTGGGGGGACCTCAGGCCCGGGGGCCAAATGTGGACCTGCAGGCATCTCCCAAAATACATTTTGGGGTGCGGGGTGCGAAAATGCCTCAGCCCCTAGGAGTTGGCGCCTTTGGAGCAGCTGTTTGGGAAAGGTGCCGAGAGTTCTTAAAAGCCCCTATTCCCCCTCACAGAGCTACAATTCCCAGTTACCTGGGAAGACAGATATGTTTGTTACGCCACTCTGGGAAGTGTACATTTCTTAAGGGAATAAGGGATTCCTAACAACACTCAACAAACTGCAACACCCAACATTTCTTTGGGGGAAGCCAGAGTGGCACCATAGTGCTTTTATGTCTGGTGTGGATGTGCCTAGGCCAAATGCCTCCTATACAGCTATAGGCCCCGGACCCCCATTATAAATGGATATTTTTCCAAGATACCTTTGCAACACTATCATTCCTTTTTTTAAAAAAAGATATTTATTAAAGTTTCAAAATGTTACAAAAATAGAAAAAAGAAAATACAAAGTACAGAAAAATAAAAACAGTTAAAAACAAATCAATCTTTCCATATCTTGTCTTTCGTTTGCTTGTTTCCCTGACCTCCTCACACCTCCCTTTTTTGTATTCAAGTTCAATTAGTTAATTCAGCAAATCCTTTCCCTCTTTATCTTAATCCTTTATCTTATTATAACTTTAGATTATCACCTGTTAACAATCCATTTTTACACAAGAAATAGAGGACGCCATTCAGAAGATGAAAATGGGAAAATCTCCAGGCCCAGATGGTTTGACTGCTAGATATTACAAGGCACTGAAGGAATGGATAATACAACCATTGAAGGAAGTTTGTAATGAAATTTTGGAAGGGAAAAAGGCACCCGAATCGTGGAAAGAAGCTTTTATTTCACTTATACCGAAAACAGAGACTGAAAAGAATCAGGTCAAAAACTACCGCCCTATATCATTACTCAATGTGGATTACAAAATTTTTGCAGACATTTTAGCAAAAAGACTGAAGAGAGTTTTGGTGCAGGAGATTCATAAGGACCAAGCAGGCTTTCTCCCAGGGAGACATATGTCAGATAATGTAAGGAACATTATAGACATTTTAGAGTTGCTGGAAGTAAAGATTAATAGAAAAGCAGTTATAATTTTTGTGGACGCGGAGAAAGCCTTTGACAATATTTGTTGGACCTTTATGAAAAAGAATCTTCAAGGGATGGGGGTAGGCCAAGGATTTGAAAACGGTATAGGTGCTATATACTCTAAGCAAAAAGCAAAGTTGATTGTTAACAATGTGGTAACGGAAGAGATTCCTATAGAAAAAGGTACACGACAGGGATGCCCAATATCACCCTTACTTTTCATAACAGTCCTGGAGGTTTTGTTGAACATGATTAGAGGGGACCAATTGGTTAAAGGTGTTGAGCTCGGAGCAAAAGACTATAAATTAAGGGCATTTGCAGATGATTTGGTATTGACTTTGCAACAGCCAGCGACTAGTACTAAAAGAGTCTTAGAATTAATTGAGAAATTTGGTCAAGTAGCAGGATTTAAATTGAACATGCAAAAAACCAAAGTGTTGGAGAAAAATTTAACAATGGCGGAAAAAGAGAAGTTTCAGAGTGAAACAGGTTTAACAATAACAAAAAAGGTGAAATACCTGGGTGTGAACTTGACTTCTAAAAATGTAAATTTATTTAAAGACAATTATGAAAAATGTTGGACAGAGGTGAAGAAAGATCTAGAAATATGGTCAAGGCTGAGACTTTCCTTGTTAGGCTGAATTGCTGTCATTAAGATGAATGTACTGCCTAGAATGTTGTTTTTGTTTCAGACACTCCAGATCTTGGATAAGATGGATTGTTTCAAGAGGTGGCAAAAAGACATATCAAAATTTGTCTGGCAGGGCAAAAAGCCCAGAATAAACTTTAAGATTTTAACTGATGCAAAAGCCAGAGGGGGTTTTGCCCTGCCGGACTTGAGACTTTATTATGAATCGGCAGCTTTTTGCTGGCTGAAACAATGGCTACTTCTTGGGAATACAGATATTTTGGATCTGGAAGGGTATGACAATAGACATGGTTGGCATGCATATATATGGTATGACAAGGTAAAATCGCATAAAGGCTTTAAAAACCATATTGTGAGGAAAGCACTGTATAATGTTTGGATAAGATATAAGGATTTGCTGGAAAGTAAAACCCCTAGGTGGTTATCACCAATGGAGGCTAAAGAGGTAAAAAAACTAAATATGGAGTCCAAATGGCCAAAGTATTGTGAAATTTTAGAACAAGATGGTGAAAGAGTTAAATTGCAGAGTTTCGATAAATTAAAGTCTAAGGTACGAGATTGGTTGCACTACCATCAGATAAACGAGGTATTTAAACAGGACAGGAAAATAGGTTTCCAGATGGAGAGGTCGAAATTAGAAACAGAATTGCTAGAACCCAATACTAAGAACTTGTCGAGAATGTACAATTTGCTGCTGAAGTGGAATACACAAGATGAAACAGTAAAATCAGCCATGATCAAATGGGCACAAGACATAGGTCATGACATAATGTTTGATGATTGGGAACAGTTATGGAATACAGGTATTAAGTTTACAGCTTGTAATGCATTGAGAGAGAATATAATGAAAATGATCTATAGGTGGTACATGACCCCAGTCAAACTTGCAAAAATTTACCATTTGCCCAGTAACAAATGTTGGAAATGTAATGAGACTGAAGGTACCTTCTATCACCTTTGGTGGACCTGCCCGAAGGTAAAGGCCTACTGGGAAATGATCTATAATGAAATTAAAAAAGTCCTTAAATGGACATTTTTGAAAAAACCAGAGGCCTTTCTCCTGGGCATGGTGGGCCAATTGGTGCCAAGGAAGGACAGAACATTTTTTATGTATGCTACCACAGCGGCAAGAATTCTTCTGGCAAAGTATTGGAAGACGCAGCAACTACCCACTCTGGAAGAATGGCAAGCGAAGGTGATCGAGTACATGGGAATGGCAGAGATGACCGGCAGAATCCGTGACCAGGGGAGTGAGACGGTGGAAGAAGATTGGAAGAAATTTAAAAAATATCTTAAAGACTGTTGTAAGATTGACGATGGCTGAGATGTTATGGTTTTAAGAAATAGAGATTTGCAGCTGTAAATCATAACTTTAAAGAATGTAAAATGAAAATGAGCGAATTAATTGAACTAAGGGTTGCTGAGAAAGGGCTAACATAAGGATGCAGAAAAAGGGAGGTATGGGGAAGTCCGGGAAATAAGGTGTATGAAAATAAGTTTAAGAAATTATACGTGTTTATTTGTTTGTATGTTTTGTATTGTTTTGTTTTATTTTCTGTTTTATATATGTTTGGAAAATTAATAAAAATTATTATAAAAAAAAAACAATCCATTTTTACATATTCCTTTATAACATTGCTGCTAAAAACCACTTAACTTCATTCCGACATCATTCTAACATTCATTAATTTTGCAATATTTCTGTAAATAGTCTTTAAATTTCTTCCAATCTTCTTCCACCGACTCTTCTCCCTGGTCTCGGATTCTGCCGGTCATTTCCGCCAGTTCCAGCAACACTATCATTCCTAAAGCTGGCCAGGAATAATTTTAATTCCTGAAGCAACAACCCAAAGGGATCTGGTTTCTCACACACCACCAGCCTGGCATTGGCCACTCAGGCCTACCTCACAACTACCAGCCAGGCCTAGAGTTGCAAGGCTTTCTTCCAAGATATTAAAGACCAGTGGGAGACTAGGGTTCAAATCCCCACTTGGCCATGAAGCTGACTGGTTGAGCTTGGGGGCGACCAGCCACTGCCTCTTTGCCTAATCTACCCCACAGGGTTGTTGTTGTTGTGGGGAGGGGGATAATCATGTATTCCACCTCGAGTTCCTCGGCAGAAGGAGGGATATAAATGCAACTAAACAAATAAATATGCCCTTGCACTTTCTTTTGTTTACTTTGGCAGGCAAATGGGAGAGCAAAAAGGAGGAAGGGGAGGCTCTCCCCCCTTTTAAGTGCACTCCCTCCATTGCTGCCTTAGTTACTGATTAAACTTTGAAGAATTTTGGCAAAAGTGGGCTCTGTCTCCAGCGGCCGACGCCTGAGCGTCTGGATGGGCAGACAAGGGGAACAGCATAGAGCCTCTGCATTGTTTGTGCAACGTTAATGGGGGGCATTAAAAGGGGAGACAGGTAAGACGGCAAAAAGAAACGCCAATTTAGATGGCACCTGCAGATACCTCAGAGGGGACGACATAGCAGGTGGGGAGAGCAGCCCAGAAACGGGCCACATTCACACCACACACGATACCGCTTTTAAGCAGTCATGGTTTCCCCTGGGAACTGTAGTTTGGTAAGGGCACTGAGCTACAATTCCCAGAGTGGCTTAACAATTCCCAGAGTGGGAACTATAGTTCTGAGGGGGGATAGGAAATAGCAATGGAGTGAGCTTGGATCCACTGTCAGAGCCTGTAACCTGTCAGTTTGCATTTCTTAGTGCAGAAAGTATTGATCTGATGTGTAGAGATCTTTCCTATTCTAATAAATTCAAGAGGGTTCTGGAAGCTTCTCTGTGAGAAAGAAACAAGCAGAAGGTTCATGATGTTTGGGTTATTCCTTCAGAGAAGCTGAGAACAGCTGGTTTAAACTGGTTCTTCTTATCTTCTGTCAAGGTCATGCTGACTATAATAGTAAGGACAGAAGGAGCCTGGGTTTCTCTTTCTTTCTATCTCTCTCCCTTCTGATGTGGTGCTCTGCACGTAGTATGCTTAGTGTTAAGATTTTAGACTTATTATAAGTTAGTTAAGTCCGCTGCTACTGGATTTCTAATGGACAGTGCCAATCCTGAATGTATTGGATTTGTGACCATTATGCTCATTTGCCTTCAGTAGCAGTAAAGCTCTACTGGATGAAATATTCATTGCCTTTGGTCTATTTTTGGGAATCCTGCAACATGTTTAAGTTGTTACTCTGCTAACTATACATTGGAATCTGCTCTGGATCAATACTGAGTAGAATTTCATGACATGACCCTCTCCCTGTAGCTCCAAGGGTCTAAAATTCCCATGGGTAGACCATTTAATTGAAGTTGTAAAAATATTTATACCTGTAACCAACTCATCTCTAAATGACTGTGCTTTAAAAACAAAATGATATGCGAAGAAAAGCTGGAATTTCAGTTTTGCAAACTAAGCAACTTTGTATAATTTACATCATATTGCATACGGGCCGTAGCTCAGTGGTAGAACATCTGCCCTGCCTGCAGAAGGCCCCAACCTCAATCCACAGCATCTTCAGGTAGGGCTAGAAGAGACTCCTGCCTCAGACCTTGGACAGCTGCTGCCAGTCAGTTTAGGCCAGTGTTTCCCAACCTTTTTTGGGCAAAGGCACACTTGTTTCATGAAAAAAATCTCGAGGCACACCACCATTACAGCCCCGTGACGTCAGCGCGCAGCATCACGCCGGGAGGGACATGAATTGCTAGCAAATTACATAATCACCTCCTTGAGGGCTGGCTCATCTTCTCCGAAGGCAGAACCCCATTAATTAACAGCACAGACTCACACCATAGCCAAGACGAGGGGGGAAAACCTCAGTCATGCACAGTCATGCACATGTGGGGGCTAAATGAGGACGAAGACCGGGCAGAGAGCAGGGTTCAAATCACCCCACCTGGCCAGGACAATCCCTGGGTGCTCCCTTGGGCCACTCGCCTGACCCACCTCGCAGGGCTGTTGTTGCGAGGATAACACGGGGAGAACCACGCGCGCCCCCGGGAGCTCCTTGGAGGAGAAAGCGGGCGATGAATGCAATGCACGAAATATATGAGAGGCGACCAGGTTTTGCAGGTCAGGGGCCCCCGCCAGCCTCCGCTTCCAACACCCGGTGGAACGACGCCGAAGTTTCCCCCCGGGCTCGGCTCGGGGAGCAGCGCTGCTCCCCCCCGGCTCCCCTTCGCCCTCCCGGCTCTCTCTGCCGCCCACTGGGGACCCCCCTCACCTGCCAAGTCCGGAGCGCCGGTGGAAGTTGCATGCATGCATGCAGGGCGCCGCGTTGCCATTGCATTGCACTGCACTCCATGCAACGCCTGCACGCATGCATTGCCTTGCACGCCCGCCAAGGGGTCTCCCCACGGTCCGATGCGTCCCCTCCGGCGCGGATGCAGCATTGCAAAAATAAAAACCCCCCGACGCAGCCCTACCTGGGGGGGAAGCCTCCGCCTCCGCCGCTCCGCCTCCGCGGGGATCCCCAGGCTCCATCCTGCCGCCCGATCTCCGCGGGGGCGCAGGCAGGCTGCGCGGGGTCTGCGCGGAAGAGCCCCTGCCCGCCCGGCCGCCGCCGCTGCGCTCATTCCATGGCCGGGAGAAGAGCGCTTCAAACAAAACGCCCGGCCCGCCAGGCCACGCTGGGGAACGTAGCTCGCGCACCCCGCGCGGGCGCGGAGCCCAAGGGCGAGGGGACTATGGATCCCGGCAGCCCCCGCGCCGGGGATGGAGGGGGAGAGGCCGGGTGCAGGGATGGAGGGACGGGTGGGCGAGCGAGTGAGTGAGTGGCAGCCGCCAAGCCTTGGCCGAGAGCCAGGAAGGGCCTCCCCGGAGGAGGAGGAGGAGGAGGAGGGAGGCGCAAAGCGGGAGGGAGGGAGGGAACCCCAGGGGTCATCTAGTGACGGCGCCCCAATCGAAAATTTGACTTAAAAAAAAAAAATCTTTCAATTTTTTAATTTTTCCCGCGGCACACCAGGCAACATCTCGCGGCACACTAGTGTGCCACGGAACAGTGGTTGGGAAACACTGGTTTAGGCAATACTGAGTAAGAAAGGCCAATGGTCTTGACTCAGTAAAAGGCAGCTTCCTATGTTCTTAAAATCCTGCAAATTAATTTTCTGTTTTGCACAAGGAATTCTGGAGGCTCGCCAAATATCTTGCCTGAGCATGGTGCATTAATGGATCATGAGTGTATATTCAAAGCCCAATGCCACCATTTTAATGAACAACTTTATTTCTGGTACTGCTGGCAGGGGCTGATGGGAGATGTAGTCCAAAACAGACTGGATCCTAGAGACAAAGGTCTGAGTTACATGTGAATTAAGAGTTTTGGGTGGTATTTAGACCAGGGAAGTGTCACAGAGACTTCTTCCTCCACTGCTAATGCCCCAGTCCAAATTGGGGACCCTCTGTGGCTGCTTTTAAGTTTTTAAAAGCACTCCTCAGGTAGCCTGATTACAGTACTAATTGCCTGAATGCTTAGCTTGACCCAGTATTTTACTAACTAAACTTTGGGATGCCAGACAAGGAACGTGGCTTCATGCTTTTACCCTTCATCTAAGCATTTCTCCACTTGGGAAGATTTGGGATTGGGGGGTGCAGTCAGGCGAGTTGTTAGAAATAAAACATCTTTTGTTAACGCAGCCATAGCACCAAATCTGTATAGCAAAGAGATGCCCGTCATAAAGTCCTGCTCAAACATTCCTTTGGCTTTGATCTTGCACTTAAACGGCTTTCTAACCCAGCTGGGGTCAGATGTGATCATAGTTTTGGAGAAACTGTGTCTCCAACAAGGGCCTAGCAAGAGTGCACCTGTCGGAATGGCAAGGGTGAAGGTAGTGCCCAAGGCAGAACCTGTTGGGTCACCCCAAAAGTTGCAAATTTCCCAACAAGGAAAACAAGCCCATGACATTGCATAGACCATCCATTGCTTTATACATTTATTTATAATGATTGGAATTCTTAGGGCTCCATTTTAGGGCAAAAACCTCACAAGGCAGGATACCCAACCCGAACAGTTTTAATTAACTCACAACAATCACCAAATGATAACGCAAAAATGATTAAAGATAGTAGCATAGTTGAGTAGCCAACAGTTGCAGGGGAAAAGGTCAGGTGGGCCAAAGCGCAGAATGGACTCAGGCTTGCAAGAAAGGTTAAAAATGAAACTATACCTGCATATGTCTAAACCAGCCTTCCCCAGCGTGGTGCCCTGCTGACTGGGGGTGATGGGAGTTGTAGTCCAAAACAGCTGGAAGGCAACACGTTTGAAAGGGCTGGTCTAAACACTTGGGCAACTGCTCAGCCCCTTGCGATACTGACACCTCCCCTGCCTCCATGGAACGTTGCCCTTGCCTCTTCTCCCCCCACTCCTTAAAAAAAATTAAAAGTGTAGACTCCTTGGGGCAGAGTGTTAGCCTTTCTGAATGAAGCACCACATACACACCAAACATTTAAAGCACTATGACACCACTTTAAACCATCACGGCTTCCCCTGGGAGTTGTAGTTTGGTAAGGGTGCTTAGTTGTTAGGAGACACCCTCCCTCCATTCCCTTCCCAGAGCTACAATTCCTAGAGTGGTTTAATAATCAGTCCCTCTTTCCCAGGGAACTCTGGGAATTGTAGCTCTTTGAGAGGAGTAGGGGTCTCCACACAACTCTCAGCACCCTTAACATACTACAGCTCCCATGGTTCTTTGGGGGATGCCATGACTTCAAGTGCTATGATACTGCTTTAAATGTAGGGCATGAACATGACTAGAGCTACAATTCCCAGCACACTTAACGAACTACAGTTCCCAGAAATTGCTAGTGGGGGAGCCATGACTTGTTTTAAAGAGGCATGAGACCGCTTTAAATGTAGTGTGGGTGTGGCCATGGATGGATACAATAGTTGCATCTTCCAGGAGATCTGAACCACCCAACCCCACCCCACCCCCCAACTTCAGGAGGAAGCCTGTCCTAGGGCCCAAATAATTCACCTCTGCTCACCTGCTGTGCTGCTCTCCCCGCCAGTGCCTTCCACAGAGTACTAGGATAAGTTGTGGGCAGGATTGCAGCTGCCCCTAGGATGGCTCAGGGTAGAAAAGGAAACAGGATGATCTCAGCTTCTTTCCTGTTTCCACAGTCAGCCGGTGGGAACTGTCCTTTTTTATCCCGTTATCTTCTGCACCATCAGCACTAAATCCTCCAGAAGGTCAGGGAGCCCCACGGTTCAGCTATGGAGGAGGAGGACCATGGCGGCCAGGAGGGAAGACATCTTCTCGAGGAGAGAACCTCTTGGTACTATTATTTCAGGTTCTCTTGGCTGTAAGGAAGCTTAAAGGAGGAAGGAAGATGGGCAGAAAGCGTCTCAGTCCCTCTTCTCAAAATCCACGTCTTCGTTTCTCCACTTCCTCCACAATCCTGGCCCTGGTTCTGAGAATTAAGAAAGGAGAGGTGAGCTTGCCATTATTATTATTATTATTATTATTATTATTATTATTATTTTGTCGTATTTCTATCCCACCTCTTTCTCCGAGCAGCTCAGAGTGACGTCCATGATTCTCCCCATCCTCATTTAATCCTCACAACAACAACAACCCTGTGAGGTAGGTTAGGCTGAGAGGCAATGATTGGCCCAAGGTCACCACCCAGTGAGCTTCATGACTGAGTGCGGGTTTGAGCCCTCGTCTCCCAGGTCCTAGTCTAATAATCTAACCACTGATGAGTGTGTGTGCGTGTGTTGAGAGGGGTCCAACTGGGAGCCCATTGGGGGCTCCAAGTTAAGGCAAGCTTGGCATGTTGTTCCCAGGAGATCAGAACAGGGCTTCTTTAGTAACTGTGGAACTCCCTCCCACAGGAGACAGTGATGACCACCAACTTGGATGGCTTTAAGAGAGGACTGGGCAAATTCATGAAGACGAATGGTTTGACAATAACTCTGTAAGGGGAATATGGCTCTCCTAGGGGACCTTAACAAGCTATATCACCCAAGATTGTTTGGGGGAAAGCCATGACTGTTCAAAGTGGCACCTTAAATGTATGGTGTGAAGGTTTATCTGTGAGGGACAAACTACAGTTCCCAGGATGCTTTGCTTCAGATGATTGGGGTGTACACAGCGAGGCAGAGAGCCCATGAGCAAGGAAATTGCAGTGCCAGAGAGAGGAAGCAGGTCCAGGAAGGCTTTCCTCAGTGGGCGCCTTGCTGGAGGGTGGGCCGTGGGCAAGGGCCCCCATCATGCTGACTCCCGGCACCAGCTCTGTAGAGAAAAGGTGTTCTGGGAGAGAGGAGGGGCGCCTGATAAGAAAGCCAAAAAAAACCTAGTTAATCATTTTGCGTTCCAGAGTTATCCTTTCTTTGAATAACGAAGTATGAGGTCAGAAGGCAGGGGTGATCTCAGCACCGAGGAGAGGGGAAAGGGAGTCAACTCTGACCACTTTTGGAGGAAGCGCTTCCATGGGAACCTCAGCAAGTGTACATAACAAAGCGGAGCCATGCCGCCAGGCTGGGCACCTGGAGAAGGGAAGGGCAGGCAGAGGGGAAGGGAGAGCCAGTATATCCCTCTGGATCTCTCTCTGCAATAGGGGGAAAAGAACTTTGCTTGAGGAAGGAAAAGCAAGCCATGAGAGCTCGTCCACACCTTGCTTGTGCCATGCCTAAAATGCACAGGTCCGAGAGGTTTTCCACTTGTCTCGTGTTTTCTAAGCGGGGGTACAAGAGGATTTTTTGTTTGCCCTGTACTGCACACCCATCATAGAGTGACTATTCCAGCACCCGTAACAAACTATGGTTCATAGCATTCTCTGCGGGGAAATTATGCAATTTAAACATGCTTTGAATTAATGGTGTGTACACAGGCTTATGACTCCTTAAATGTGGAATCCCAAAGATCTGGGAAGCGGCTGAATCCTTCCTGCAAAATACAGTCTAGAGGTGCCAGCTGAAGTTATGCACTTTTTAAGCTTTGCATTGATTTATTGTTTTGTTCTTTGTATGGAAATCTAAAACCGAACAACAAGACTGGATTGGCTAACACTTCTTTATCAACTTAAACCATCTCAAAAGTAGCTATTGTGTTATTAAATTAGTAAAACACACACAAACGTCTGGAGTCATTTCGATTGTACACAGATCCATTTTCCCACATGCACTTAAACTTGGATGGGGTGGGGGGCTTTACATACCTTTTTTATTGTTTGGGTGTCAAGTATGACCTCAGACTTGTAGGACGATTTAAGTGGATATACAATCACCCACAAAGCAAATCGAGTCAGAGATCTTACTAGGGGTCCTGAATGAGTGTGAACTGTTTATACGGGCAGGTGTGCCTCTGAACATCTGCAAAGTGCATTTTCCTACAGCTGTACAATTGCCAGTCCCCAAACATCTGGGGTTTCATGGGGGCTTATCTCCCAAGAAGTGTGCATCAGGTACGGACCCCATGTGAGAAGAACTAGGCTTCTAAAATGTAAGAGCCAAACCTCTAAAATGTAGCCAGTGCAGTGTAGAGTATTGGACTAGGACCAGGGAGGCCTGGGTTCAAATCCCTGGCCACAAAGCTTGTTAGAGGACTCCTCACAGGGTTGCTGACTGGATCACAGAGGAAAGGGAAGGAATCACACTGTCCTTAGAGAAAGGGCAGGATGGCAACATATTAAAATAGATAAAGTAATGATTGTCCACCGACCTAACAAATTTGTAAGGGCCTGTTAAGCTCACACTGAGGCAAAGAAAATCTAATCAGGAGTTTGACAACAACAACAAAAACAGCCAAGAAGTGAACACAGTTTTAAGATTGTTCGAAGCTGAACTCATGATTCTTGGTCAGTCGCTTTACATTTCTATCATTCCTTTGTAGCAAAAGCCATACACGATAACGGGCTATTTTAGTTCTCCACCCAACCAACCAACAAGAAGACTTCCTTCCATGCCTTTCCTGCTACATCCAGGCTTTTCAAAGTCGCTTTGAGACATTTGGCTGCTTTCAGGCCAGAGTTGCCTTCAAAATATCTCATCACTGAAATGCTATTTTAGTCTCTGTATGGAAATTTAAGAGACACCCTTCAAGATTTGCATTTTAGAGTAAGAATTGCCAGTCCTGGGAGAGAAGGGAAAGTCACACTTATTGTGCGTCTACACATGCTGCTAACCTGGACTTGCCTCCTGATTGGACAGGGACACTCCCCAGGGTGGTGACTCATACAGAGACCTGATAAGTAGTCATAGGGTCATCTGAAGCCACTTCACAGCAAGTCAAGCCATTGGGTTCATCTAGCTCAGTACTCTGAGTGGCAACAGCTTTCCAAGGATTCAAGCAGGAGTCTGTCCCATCCCTACCTGGAAATACTGCTGGGGATTGAACCTGGAACCTTCTGCACACAAAGCATGTGTCCTACTACTCAGCCATAGACTTTCACCTGCTCCCTGTCTTCTGTGACAGCAGAGGAGGCCGAATCAGGAATCACTGAATGACCCACATATTCCCGGTGCACAGAGACACAGAATTATCCATCCAGCGAAGGCTGATTGGGAGATCAGCAACTCACACGGAGATGCAGCAGGCAGACTCCCCCCCCCCCCGGAAGGTGGGCATCCAGGAGCTTCTCATGACTTTATTTAACTCATTAGCAACTCTTTCTGAGCCCGGTGGCTGGGAAGTGCTGGGTTAAGGACTTCCAGTAAAAAGAGAACCACAGCAAGAGTATCATCCTTGAGGGTCTTGGAAGGAAACCACAACAGCAGAACTGGTTTCAAATGGTTGGCGCTCACCCTAATGACAACTAGGCATGCCTCAAAGGAAGGTAAAAGGTAAAGGTACCCCTGCCCGTACAGGCCAGTCGTGTCCGACTCTAGGGTTGTGCGCCCATCTCACTTAAGAGGCCAGGGGCCAGCGCTGTCCGGAGACACTTCCGGGTCACGTGGCCAGCGTGACAAAGCTGCTCTGGCAAGCCAGCACCAGCACAGCACACGGAAACACCGTTTACCTTCCCGCTATAAAGCAGTACCTATTTATCTACTTGCACTTTAGGGGTGCTTTCGAACTGCTAGGTGGGCAGGAGCTGGGACCGAAAGATGGGAGCTCACCCCGCGTCGGGGATTCAAACCGCCGACCATACGATCGGCAAGTCCTAGGCACTGAGGTTTTACCCACAGCGCCACCCGGGGCATAAAATGATAAGCAAAGCCCAGCTCCATCAAAGCCTAGCACCCTTTTTAGAAAGTGGCCAGCCAGGTGCTTCTCAGGAGCCTGCAAGCTTCTGGAACTCAGCAACTGAAACTTGGAGAAATATTGCCTCTGATCCTGGAGGGTAATTGAGATATTTGCCTCAGGGGGAAAGAATTACCCTTGGTGTGTGTGTGTGTGTGTGTGTGTGTGTGTGTGTTTATGGTGTATCAGAGGGACTGTAAATCCCAAATCATTGGAGCCACACACTGCCTGGGCTTGAGAAAATCTAATGGGGTCCTTCCAGATCTACAATTCTATTCTTCTAATGGGACACATTGATCACCAACGATCAGACGAAATGGTCCCTGAGCTTTCATTAGCCTTCCAGACAAATTCAACGCAACAAGAAAAGAATTAAGAAACCAACAGCAGGTCTGACCAAACCAGCCCACCCATCTCCTGCAAGAGGTAGGGGTGGCCAAGAAATCTGTGTTACAATACAAAAAAGTGGGCTGGGGGGGGGGAGAGGGGGGAGAGAAATGTGCCAGGCAAGAGGAGGAAAAGTACATAATAAAACTCTCACTTCTGCCGGAATGTAAATAACTCTTGAAGCCTAGGCTCAAGGAATGTCAAAAGAAAGAACAACAATATTGAAAGAGGATGGTGAGTGGAATTCAGAGATAAGGAAGGAGAAAGCCTTAGAATCACAGAATTGTAGAGTCAGGAGGGACCCTGAGGGTCATCTAATCCAACCCCCTGCAATGCTGGACTCACAGCTAAAGAATATCTGACAGAAGGCCAACCAACACCTGGTTAAAAACCTTCACTGAAGGAGAGTCCACCCCACCACATTTCAAAAGAGTCCAATTCCACTGCTGAACAGCTCTTATAAATTGTTGTGACTCACCCTGGAAGGGTGGATAAATAAAATAAAATTATCATCAGGGTGTTTTTTGTTTTTTTTAGTTTCCAGGCTCATAGGTGCTGCTTTTACTCATTGTTTGTGGGGCTTGGCTCACTCCTGACTTGTGGCAGCTTGATATGCTAGCCGCGTCTGTATTGTGCTTGGATGCAGGAAATCAAGGTTCGAGAAATGACTTGACTTGGTCCTGGGTGGTCATAATTTCCCAACCTAGCCTACCTCACAGGGTTGTTGTGTGAGGCTAAAACACTGCTCTCGATAGAATCAAGCAACTGTTTCCTGTTTATACCCTGGATAACGTAGGCGTAATCTAGAATGCAGGGGAGGTGCCCCACAAGCCCAGGAGG